CTTGCTCTGCCGTGGGGAAATCCCGGACATTGTGAGTGCTTTACAAATTCCCCCCGGACGCTATTTTTAGCACACAAAAGGAGGACATGTCCGGGTAAATCCGGACGAATGGTAACCCTAGGCATTGGTGCCAGCACTGACTGCCAGGACAGTGTCCCCTACTGAGCCTCCACCTGCTCCTTGCAGCACAGCGCCCCCTAGCACCGCACTGGGGTCAGCAGTCCCTACTGACTCCGGCACACTCCAGCTGAAGGTTGACAGTCCCCCCGCCCCTCACCCCATCCCACCCCCAGAAGATGGTAGCTCCCTGCTTACCAGGCATGGGTCCTGGCCCCTCAGGAGGGAAATGCTGCATGTTCTTTGGTCCAGGTAGGAATCCATTGGCGAGGGGCCCTGGGCCCAGCAGCCCATGGGGCACTGGAAGACAAGAGAGCAGAGGGGTCAAATACAGCCAATGGGGTCACACTTCCCATCCCTTCCCATACTAACCCAGGACACATTTACAGGACCACCTCTCCTGGAACCCCCAGAGCAGGAAATCACAGACATGCACTCGTACACCCAGGATGTCATCAGGATGCTGGGTGCACCAGCTCTCCCCTGGCCCCAGCCATTCGACCCAAGCAAGGTCACGTCCTTCAGATTACCCGCCTGCCAGAGCCCCTAGAGCTGTAACAGCTGATGGTTTAGAAGTTCCAGGCGCCCCATCGAGACAGACAGAAGGCAAAGAAACAGAAGCCAGAAGGTGACCGGCAGGACATGATTTTCTCCTACCAGCAGGAGGTGGGAACAGGGTCAGTGCCTCCCAAGAGGTCTCACCTCCTGAGGGCCCCAGGGGCTGTGGCTGGAGGTTGCCAAGCAAGTGTTTGATCTTGTCCGAGTAATCCGGCTGCTTCATTAGCTCCTCCGTCTTGTGGTTGTTGGGCCCGCCCTGTGCAGGGAAGGGAGACAGGAGGGGCAGGGTTAGACAGAGTGTCCCTCCTCCCCCACACTACACCCCCCAGCTCTCTCTGACTTCTAACTCTAGGGTGCTGTGCTAGTCCATTAACCCCTCTAGCTGGGGCCAGGGGCTGGCTTGACCCAACCACTTTGGGAGAAGGGGGTGATAGGAAAGAGTACCACCCCCCAACACGCATCCCCCGCACCCCAACTATTGCTCAATTGGTGCATTATCTGAGTTTCCCCTTCCCCCTAAAAAGCTGGACCGTCAACCAAGCTGGAGGCAGGGAGACCAGGCCAATGGTCTGCTCCAGCAGTGGTGGGGTGGTAGGGAGTAAGCAATGGCCCGCTCTGGGGATAGATGGGCCAGGGAGGCCCCACCCACAGAGCAGCACAGAGTTTACCCTTTTGGTGGTGGAGCCTCCCATGACAGGGAGCCTATAGGGTCAGTCAGGCTACACGGCAGCTCCAGTTACCATGATGGAGGAGAGGATCTCCTGCACGTTCATGGAGGAGCTGGGGTTGGGGCCCTGAGCAGGGCCGGCTCCAGGCACCAGCTTAACAAGCAGCTGCTTGGGGCGGCCAAGGGAGAGGGGCGGCACGTGCGGCAATTCGGGGGCGGCAGGTCCCTCACTCCCTCTCGGAGTGAAGGAATTGTCGCCGCCGATCACGATCGCGGCTTTTGTTTTGTTTTGTTTTCTGAACTGCCGCCGCCGATTGCGGATTTTTTTTTTTTTTTTTTGGCTTGGGGCGGCAAAAAATGCTGGAGCCGGCCCTGGCCCTGAGGGCTCTGCGGGGGAGTGGGGGCTGGCATCAGGTTGGCCAGCACTGGGGGCAGCTTGGAGGCCCCGGCTTCGTCGGGAGACTGCGAGACGGTGGCCGGGTCGAGTCCTTCCTGGTGAGCGGCCTCGTCCATGGTGCATTCCTGAGAGGGGACAGAGGAGACACTGGAGTCAGGATGGGCTGAGGGCAGGGAGGACGCCCCAGCCTCAGGGGCTGGGGGTCATGGCTGGACGCACAGGTTCCTGGGCCTTTGCCTTTCTCTAGCCCATCCCTGTTTATACAGGTAGACAGAGACACAGAGTGGGGAAGGGCCCCCAGTGAGCTGGGATATGAACCCCTTGCTCTAACCCCTAGACCCCTTCCACAGTGAGGAGCAAACCCAGGAGTCCTGACTACCAATCCCCCCGCTCTATCCCAACAGGCCCCCTCCTTCTGTCCCCCAAAGCAGGGTAGAGAACCCGGGGCCCTGGGCCAGATGTACCTTGTCGAGCGGGATGAGTTTGGGCGGCAGGGGTTCGTAAGACTCTGGGTCGGGTTCGTGGGGACTATCTGGAATGCTGCGGAGAGGAGAAATGCTGGTCAGATATCAGCACCAAGAGACGTGGTTGTAGCCCCCCATTATGGGGCTCTCAGCACAGCCTGATGCCCCCCCGCCTCTTAGCTCCCAGCACAGCCTCACAGGCCAGGTCCACACACCCAGCCAGCATCCACCAGCCATGGGAAGCAAAGATAGAAGGGTCAGAGGGGATCCTGGTGCCCAGCAACCTAGAGAGGCCCCTGGTGGGGTCATCTGCTGGGACCTCTGTGTTCCCTGAGTCAAACAACCAGGTCGACAGGCTCAGAGGCAGCAGCCGGCTCATATGCCGCTAGAGAGGGACAGAGCCATGCTGGATTCAGGTAGGTGGCCTTAAATTTGACACACTGGCTGTTGCACGGTGCAGCCATTAGAGGAGGACAAAGAGCCTACATTGCGCAACTGGGAAATGGTGCCCCGGCCTCGCCCCCAGTATCCTTCCAACCTCTCACCCTGCCGCCCAGGGCCACACCCACCTCTCCTTGAAGAGGAAGATCTCCGGCAGGGTGCCCTTCTCCCTCTTGGCCTGGGTGAACTTCTCGTGGCTGCCGCTGCCCGGCTGCACCAGGGAGCTAGGCAGGTCGATGAGGTTGGGGTAAACCCAGGGCACTTCATTTTCCATGGCACTGTGGCTGAGCCGGCGCGCCGTCTCGAAGGCTTGCCGGTCCTTCAGCATCTCCCGCTTGGCTGCCTCGCCAAAGTCCTTGATCTTGTTCAGGTTGACTGCCGGGGGAGGAGAAGAAATGGGGAGGGGTTTAGTCAGGGGACAGACAGGTCACTGCCATCCAGCCGATGGGAAGGGTGCGACACCCCCACTCCGTAATAGGAGTTCAAAGGCCTCGTATCCCTTTTCCCACCTGCAGAAGCCAGGTAGTCCCCTGGTGCTGGAGCAGAGCTGGCACCCCCTAGAGAGAAAGGCCCCATGCCCCAGTCCCCTGGCGATAGATGGGAGCTGGTGCCCCCTAGAGGGAAAGGCCCCTGCCCCAGTACTCACCTCGCTCAGTATCATCCAGCTCGAAGTAGAAGTACTCCCGCAGCTTGCTCTCTTCAGGCCAGCTCACTGTCTTCTTCTTGCCCTTCTTGGTGAGCCGCGTGGAGTCAGCGGTGCTCTCGGACGGCTTGGTGTCTGAGTTCTGCTTGGACGAGGCTGCGGGGACGGGACACAGAACGGCTCAGCCATCAGACAAACACACACCACGGAGCCTGGATCTAACAACCGGCACCAATGCCTCCTGAGCCCAACCCAGGACCCCCAGGTGAAGACAGCCCTGCCAGCCCCACAGTTAAGCTGACACAGAGGCTGTCCCCCTCCCCCCCCCCAAGGCAGCTGTATCCCAGCTGGCACGGCACACCCGGCCACAAGCATTACAGGTTTTATGGCCTCCTGGGTGGCAACATCAGGTCTGATCCAACACAGCCAGGATGTTGGGCTTACACCTACCACCCGCCCAGGGTTAGCACAACAGAACCCATTGGCTCTAACGCCTTCCCCATCCTTACCGGTCTCCATCAGCTCTGGGACCTCTACTGCCGGCACAGGGGTACCGGGCCGATCCACCTCCATTGGCTCGGATGCAGTAGCGGGTTCTGGTGAGGATGGTTTAGCAGCGCTCGCTTCTGGGGCTGGCTTCCCTTCAAAGGGGCTCGCCTGGGACACAGAGAGAAATGTGGGATCAGTGGGAAGTGAACCAGTAACTCCCAGCCCCTGCACCAGACCCCACTCCCCTCTCATTGCTGAAGTCAGAACCCAGGGGTCCTGCCTCCCAGACCCCTGCTCTAACCCACCAGATCCCCCGACGCCCCGAGCTGGGGACAGAACCAAGGGGTCCTGCCTCTCAGCCCTCCCCACTCTAACCCACCAGCCCCCACTCAGAGGTGTTTGTACCTTGGCTGCCGTAGGAGACAAGACTTTCTTTTTCTTTTTGATCTTGATCCCCGGGATGGGGGCAGAGTTAAGGGCATCGGGGAAGCCCAAGCCCTCCATTGCTGCAGAGAGGGGGGGAAACAAAAGAGGTTACACAAACTGAAAGCTCCACACACCTGCAACTTCACATGTTATCCTGCCCCTCCCCCATGCTATATCCCACTCCCATCCCAGAACCAGGGATAGAACCAGGAGTCCTGACTCTCAGACCCACCCCTGCAACCCCGCTACTCTCACCAACTAGACCTCACTCCCCGCCCAATGCTGAGGACCGAACCCAGGCATCCTGACTACTGGGGCCTCAAATGTACTCACGTTGCACTGGGATGATCTTGACTTTGATTTCCTTGGTGCTGTTGGGGGTGGTGTTCAGAGGTTTGTATTTCTTCTCTACTGGTGGGTTGTCACCAGAGGGGGCGGACGTGCTGTGAGAGGGAAAAGCAGACATGGCACTGAGACACTGAGGCCACGGCCCAGGAAAGGGATCAGGCAAGTCCAGATCACGTGATGATCTGGCATGAAGAGCAGAGAAAGCACAGCACAACCCTAGGGCTGCTTTGCAGGGGGCTGAAGGGGCAAGCAGTGGCGGCTTGGGGAAGGTTACCAATGCTGGGCCCGTACTACACACAGGGCCTCGGGCAAATGCCCTCAGCACTCAGTCCTGCCTCCCAGCTCCCCGCACTGTAACCCACTAGATCCAACTCCCCTCCCAGATCCAGGGATAGAACCCAGGAGTCCTGCCTCCCAGTTCCACACAGAGTGCTTCTCAGGACTGAGGAACAGAGTGTAAAGGTGAGGCAGACAGAGGAAGCCACAGGCGCAAGGTCGGGACGCTTTCCCCAGCGCAGGGCAGGATGCTCAGACCAACCTCTGCCTCTTCATCGGCATCGGCTTCAGGTTGTATTTTTCAGACACCACTACAGCGTTGAGGTTCTTCTTCAGAGGAACCAGTGAGGGAGTTGCCAATTCCAACCCTACGGCAAAGCAAAACTCAGGTTAGTAGAATACAGCAAGGGGATAGGCCCCACAGATTTCCATAGTATCTCATCTGCAAGGATCCCAAAGGATTTTTATGTTGGGATTGGTCACGCAGCAGAGAAATGCAGCCACCAACTGGCCATGTGTTATGTCCAGGTGGCAAGCCTCACAGGAAATAAGTCATAGATTATCAGGATTGGAAGGGACCTCAGGAGGTCATCTAGTCCAACCCCCTCCTCAAAGCAGGACCAATCCCCACACAGATTTTTGCCCCAGATCCCTAAATGGCCCCCTCAAGGATTGAACTCACAACCCTGGGTTTAGCAAGCCAACGCTCAAACCACTGAGCTATCCCATCTCATGCAGAGATGAACAGAGTCCTTAGGTCAGTTTCACTGCAGAGATGGTGTATTAGAATTGCAAAGAGTCTCTTTCAGATTCACTTCATCAGGTGAACAATAGGCTTTTTAAGTAACCTTCTATTTCCTAAACATCGATGGTAATTAATTACATGGATTAAAATAAGGTAACTATCCATAAAGCAGTTAATACACAGTTTACCAATGACAGTATTACACAGAAGTTTTATCTCTATGTTAATATTTCCTTTCCATCTCAGATTTAACATACAGCCCTAGACAGGAACACTTTCGTTACACTGTGAACCTCTAACAAGATGTGACTAAACATAGACTAGTACAATTAATATCTTCTTCCAGTTCTTTAACCATAAAAGTTTACATTTCAAAACTCTAGGTTATCTAATGTGGAAGGGCCCTAATTTCCATTTACACACATTTCTAACATGTGTCTAAAGGGTGAATCTGGGTCAATTAGCCTGCAAGTTGCTTAACCCTTTCTGGCCCCGTGTCACAGAAGTTTAGACCTTGTGTGGATTCTTCCATGTTTAGTGAGGTGTGATCTCCGTATGAAACATTTTCCACAGTCCAAGCACTTATGGGGTCTCTCTCCTGTGTGGATCCTCTGATGTAAAACAAGGGATGATCTGATTCTGAAACTTTTCCTACAATCCAAAACTTATGGGGTCTCTCTCCAGTGTGGATTCCCTGATGTTTAACAAGATCTGACCAACACATGAAAAACTTTTCCCACAGACGAAACGCTTATGGGGGCTCTCGTGTGTGGATTCTCTGATGTGTAATTAGTTTTGACTTCCAAATGAAACATTTCCTGCACTGAAGGCACTGAGAGGGTTTTTCTTCTGTGTGGCGTCTCCCATGGTTATTAAAGTCTAAGCGGTTATTGAAGCTTTCCCCACGGTTCAAGCATTGGGAGGATTTCTCTCCAGTATGGATTGTTTGATGTGTTACAAGCTGTGAGCTCGGAATGAATCTTTTCCCACACTGCAGGCAGTGCCAGGGTGTCTCTTCCTTGTCTGCTGAGCTCTGGGATCCTTGTCTCCTCCCCCACAGTTAATAGATTCAGCCACTTTCTGCCTAGGTGGTTTCCCAGCAGCCTCTCTGGGTGGTTTCCCAGGTGGTTACCCAGCAGCCTCTCTGACCTCTGCCCATTTTCCCAGGCTTCTCCCTGTTCCAAGCAGTGGAAAAAATTCCATGCAGCACTTCCCATAAAGGTCTCCTGTGATTCCACTTTACCAGGAACTTCTGCATCATGATTCTCCTCTTCATTCTCACTCACTCTCTCATGATGAGCTGGGAGAGAGACAATCCAGACAGGAGTCATTGTGCTGGGGAGAAAGAGGAATAGCACAGAGGGAAAACCCAACACAAAGACTGAGCAATTGGATTCTGCCTCCACTTCTCACCCAAACACTCACAGGGAAGGAAATCTGGAAAGGAAACTCCTGCAACTTTGTCCTTCATTCCCCAGATGGTTTCTGTGTCCGTCCTCACCTGTGCGGGCGCCTCTCGGGATCTCTCTTTCCTCGCAGACCTGGAGATCGGGCACCCACGGCTCTTCCCCTCGTTCCAGCCGGGTGATCAGCTCAGGTTTGGGAATGGGAAATCCTGCACAGGGGGTGAAATCAGACCAGATCAGGGTGTTACGGGGTGCTCCATATGCTGAAAATATGCTTATCAATATGAATATGACATAGCTGGAACATGCTTTATGCAAAAGGTCCCATTTAAGGGATCATTGGAAAAGTTGCAATCGACTGAATATGGTTTTCCTATTTGGATGTATGCATCATTCTTGGGTTTAAAATTAAGTGAGGAGACCCCTGCTTATCACCCAAGATGTCTGCTGCAACTAACAGATACTGAACAGGGGAAAGGATTGGGCCCAGATTAGAAACAAGTCTAGTCTGTGAAAAACTTATGGAAACTTATGTGAGCGTGAGAAATTATTATTTGTAACCAGGTTCTTAGCGTATTAAGCTTAGCCTTGCATGTTTGCTTTATTTTGCTTAGTGACTTTCTTTGTTCTATTACTTAAAACAACTACTTTTATACTTAATACATTTTGCTTATTAATAAACCCAATGTAAGTAATTGTTACTGGTGGGGAGGGGGCAAACAATTTGTGCATCTCTTTTTTTTCGGGACAAAGAGGGTGAACACTTAGGAAGTTACCCTGTATAACCTTTATACAGAGTACGACGGATTTATCTGGGGTTTAGATCCTATTGGGGCTGGGTATCTGAGTGCTGGAGATAGGTATCTTGCTGTGCTGTTTTCAGTTAAGATTTGCAGCTTGGGGGCGTAGCCCGGACCCTGAATCTGTGCTGCAGCAGGTTAGCGTGTCTGGTTCAACAAGAGAGGGTACTGGGGGCCCAAGCTGGCAGGGAAAACGGGCTCAGTGGTCATTTCAGCACATCAGGTTACAGTCCCAAGGGGGTCTCTGTGACTGAACTCTTCATACAAGGCGCATGGAGCATTGGGGGAGTGTCTGTCACAAAGGGCACTGTGTGAACAGAACCTGTCCCCGTGCTGTGCTGGTGGGAATATAGAACCTAAGAGGACAGGAACATGGTCACTGAGCCGCCTTGGGGGAGGCAGGTGTCTGGAGAGGTGACAGGAATTTTTACACCCTCACTAGGAGTTCCCAGGATCTGTGCTCTCTGGGGGACTTGCTGACACACACACACAACTCTGGCGTTAAACCTTTGCCTATTTCTAAACCTGCAGAGCCCAGAGCCCTCCCCATGGCTGGAGCTATTTCCAAGAAGGGAGGTGAACAGGGATTCTGTGTGTGACTGGGAATCAATACAGACAGGACAATGAACAAATTCTGTCCCTTTGAAACCTGGAGGGATGGAGATTTGCTAGCATGTCCTTTAGCTTTTGACACCTGTATCCCATTGGAGAGGGCACGAAGATGCAAGTCTCTCACACGGCAGCTGTGCATTATGGAACCCATTTGCCTCTGATCTAACTCACCAGGGAAGAACCTGACCAGAGTCCGACACGCAGACCCAACAGCTTCTAATAACCGAGGGGCCAGGAATCCCTTACCCAGCGAGGTCACCATCTCGTAGTTCTCCTGCATGACGTCCCTGTAGAGGGCTCTCTGAGCGGGGTCCAGCAGAGCCCACTGCCCCTGGGTGAAATACACAGCCACATCCTCAAAGGTCACCGACATCTGAAACAACAAGAGTCCCCCACTCAGCACCTGCTGCCCCAGCCACAATCCCACTAGTCACAGGGAAAGGAAATAAAAACTCGAAGCTCTGGGAGGGCCAGAGTAGCAAAATCAGACCCCTACTGTTCAGAGCAGCCAGGAGGCTTCAGGAGGCTTGGTGCGGCAGAGACCACAGACTTGGTCTGGCAGTGCCTGCTGGCCCGGGTACCCCCACTCTGGTTTTGGTTCCCCCACCCCCTGGTCTTTATCTCCCTCGGCTCCCTGAGAGCCACACTCCCGGCACTCCTGCCTGGAGGGTCCTTTGGTGCCACATAGCCAACATTCCTTGAGGTGCTCGGCTTGTTGTCTAGTTTTCTTTCCCTTCTGCCCCCCTTCCCCCAGCACCACAGGAGGGGGGGTCCTTGCACTTGTTGGGGTTCGACCCTCTCTTCACCCCCTCTGCTCCCTCTATTGGGTGTCCCCTACCCCCTTCCTCCGGCTCCCCATGCCGGCTCCGGGCTTCGTCTTATGGGGGTCCCCAATCGCCTCCCAGTAGAGCAGGGTAGGGCAAGTTCTTTACTGATCCTACCCGTTGCCACAGGAAGCGCCCCGGGCCTCCATAGGCGCCCGGGCCATCTCATACCTCTGGGTGTCCCCATGGGCGCACAGCAGGGCCATTTTGCCCCTGGAATCACCCAGTATGGGTTAACTAATCCCTTCCGCACCAGTGAGCGGGTGGAGGCGGAGTCTACTACCCCCTCCAGAGCTCCCCCCCTCCTGCCCCCCAGCAACACTGGTATCATAGTCAGGGGCTGTCTCCCCGATCTCCTCCGTCCCCCCGTCCACCCACAGAAGTCCTCCAGCCCACACTCCATTTGTGGACAGTCCTGTTTCTTATGGGCCGTGCGTCCGCACTGCCAACAAGTCAGTTCTCGACTGTAGGCTGGCCCCGGGTCTGACCCCCTCTTGGGAGCAGCGTCCAGCAGGCTTCCTCCTGGTCCTGCCCCCTTACTGGGCTTCACCACCCGCCTGGGCCCCTCTGCTTCTACATATTCTTCTGTTAGCCGGATGGCATCCGCCACCTGGGCCGGCTGATATTTTCAGACCCACACCTGCACCGGGAGCCCCAGGAGGAATTGTTCTAAGATTATTTGATCCATTACCTCCTCCATGGTTTGGGCTGTGGGCCTCAGCCAGTGGGTGGCCCAATCGGTCAGTCTCTGGGTGAATGCTCTGGGCCGCAGACCCTCCGTCCAGCGGGCCCGCCCGGAACCACTGACGGTATCTCTCGGTTGAGAGTCCTACCCGGTCCAGCATTGCGGCCTTTACCGCATCATAGTCCCTCGCCTGGGTTTCGCCCAATGCGGCTTGGGCCTCTCCCCCCAGGTACAGGGCTAGCCGCAAGGCCCAGGTTGCCTGCTCCCAACTGGCCACCATAGCCACCCGTTCGAATGTCCCCAGGAACACATCGGGGTCATCCGTGGGACCCATCTTGCAAAGCCCCCACTTTGGCGGCCTGGTTCCATCCCCAGATGCCGGACTCACCACCCTCTGTAGCATCTGCTGCTGGGCTGCCGACTGCTCCCCGATGAACTCCTGAAGGGCCCGTTGTTGGTCCGCCTGCCATGTCATCAGCGCCTGTCTGTCCGCCTGCTGGGTCTGCTGCATCTCCCGCACGGTGCTCACCAGCCACTTCAAGGTCTCCCCCACGGCAGCCACAAATAGCCGTAACTAGGGAGATCCCAGACAAGCCCCCAGGGTCACAGGGTCCACGCAGGTTTCCACCCTCTGTGTTTGGGCTGGTGTAGTAGAGTCCTCCACGCCTTCTTTTGCTGGTTCACCCGTGTCTTTATTTACAGTGCTCGTGCAGTTCCCAGATCCCCCAACAGATAGTGACCCCAGACCCTCCCCAGGGTCTCCTGGTCCTTGAGGCTTCCTTACTGGGTAAGGAGACCGCAACACTGCCCTCCTGTCCCCTCTCAGGCTCGCCTCCTGATTGAGCTTTGCCCAGGGCTTTTACAGCCTTCCTGGTGCCTCAGCCCCGCTGCCAGCACTTAGCTCAGCACGCTCCTCTGGGCCAGCCCTCGTTAGGGCTTGCAGCTGGGCTCCCTGCTGAATACCTGTGACTCTGCCCCCGGTCTCCAGGCCAGAAAACAGGCCACAGCCAGCATTTTGGCAGGGTTCAAAAGGGGTTTACCCCTGCCCTGCCACACAGGTGAATGTCCCTCTCCCCCACTGCCGCCAATGGTCCTACTCAGAAAATCAGCAGGTTTATCACACCCTGTCTCCTCCCTGCTTCTCTCTCCCCCTTCCCAGCAGCTCCCTGAAAATCCCCTACCTGAGCTGGCTCCATCACAGCCATTTCCCTTCCCTGTCTCCTGGCAGACGAGACGATCTGGAGTGAAATGTGGACGTGATTCCTCCGCCTGTCGGGGCGAGAGGGGCGATGTGGGAGGTTACAGAAGGAGCTGGAGTCCATGTCACACCCCGATTCCCCCCAGGCTCTTCAGACCCTCCCAGTAACAGCATCTCTGAGCCAAATGCTAGAAAAAGAGCAGAATCAAAGAGGCCACTGTGGGGGACTTAAGACTCCTCATTTGAGATTCAAGACGCTGTTTTTCCATTTTTCCATATCAATCAAAATATGCATTAAACTGGCCTTGCCCAACCTTATTGGCCAGAAGTGCGCCTCTGAGGTGCACAATCTTGTCAAGGTCAAAACTTCCCTCTGAGGGAAACTGTAATTTTGGGTCATCTCTGATAGACCAATTCCATTTCTCCAGAAACTTGCAAGTGAAAGGACTGTAATTTGTGTGCATGTAGTACACGGGAGTGCCTTTTGGCAGGACGGGGATCATTTTGGACCCACTGCCTCCGATTTTCACTCGGGTCACTCACACAGGAAAGGCTTATTGAGGACGTCCACGACCCTCCTACACCCCCTTCAGCAAAGAGCGTCGGCTAGTCTCAGAGAGAATGGCGTCGCTCACTCTGATGCTTCAGGTGAGATGGTCAGACCAGTCAGTGGCTCATAGACCGCCTTCAGGCGGGGAGGGGAAAGGGAGGAAAGAGGTTACGGAAAAGGAGGTCTCCCCCGATCTTGGTTCTGGAGCGGATAATGCGCCTTACTCCAGTCCAGAGGATCGAACAGAGCTCATGGACTGTCCGAGGATGGGGAAAAGGATGAAGGGTCACACAATCCTAGACCCAGGCAGGCCCCTCACCAGTCAGGCCATGCAGAGCCACCCTACCTCAGGCAGGGCCCTTTTTTCAGCCCTACTAGTTGCAGTCAAAGGGCTTGCTTTAGAGACATCTCCGGCCATGAGCTTATGGGCTTTGCAGAGAGCTCTGGGGGTCTCCCTGTGATCTTCACTCAAACGCGCACACAAACACAAAGTCCTACCTAGCAACACCCGTGGCTCTTCCTGGGGCAATACAGGAGGGCGTCAGGCGTGTCTGGCAGCAAAAGGGTCCGGATCCAGCACGCAACTCACCCAAACCTAGAGCCTACGGGCAGTCCTCCACCGGAAACCCAAAATAGAGATTTAAAAGGTCTCTCACCTTTCAGATGGCGCCCGGGTCCGGTGGGGAACGGTCCGCGGTCCTCCGGTTCGGCGGTATACCGTGGATCCGAGTCATGGCACAAGAAATTGTCATGGAAATTCACCTCGCGTTGTGTTTAGATCAGAACAGCCTGCGGCTCCTTTATTATAATACAAGCATGCAGGGAGAGACAGCTGAGAAGCAACGCCCCGAGCTGTTCCACAAAGGAAAAAAGAACACAGAAGCTTATATAGATCTATAGCAACATCCAGATGAGCACACTTGCTCATTAATGCTTCCTTGTTAGTAACACAGCAAAAAGATTTTCTAGTCCAAACAGGTGTGTTTTTTTTCCTTCCATGGTTAGCGGCTTCCTTACGGTTAGCTGTTGCAATTGCATTTCTCTGAGCTTCCTCATCACCCCTCCTGTCCTTTTATCACAGACACAGTTACCTTGACAAGAGTTTAGGCCCACTTGACTTTGCTTTTACAAGCCGTTTTAGTCTGTATCAGCAAAAACAACCAGGAGTCCTTGTGGCACTTTAGAGACTAACAAACTTATTTCATGGGCTAGGACCACGAAAGCTTATCCCCAAATAAATGTGTTAGTCTCTAAGGTGCCACAAGGACTCCTCATTGTTATTTCTCTTTTTTTAATAAATCCAACGTAAACTGGGAGCAATGTGTGCTCAGGAAGGGAAGGTGTGTGTGTGGATATTTGCCTTGTAACTAGGCACTGCCGGGGAAATGTAACTCGGACAGACAGCATTGTCTGTTATCCCGTCGTATATGGGGATGGTCATATTGGTGAGTTTGTGACTGGGGTGCTCACAAAGGTGTGACGCAGTCTGGCAGGTGTAACAAAAACATATTAAGCTCACTTCATTCGTTTGATGAGTTTTGAGACCAGCCCATGAAATCAATCAGCTCTGCCCTCAAATTACAACATTACTATAGAAACAGGAACTGTTACAGTGTCACCGGGAGATGCGATTGCTGAAGCTACTCGCAACTATTCATATTTCCCTTGATGATTTGCCATTACAAATATTAATTCCATGGCAGAATGACGTCCCTCCGCACAATGCTGATGAAGCTTAGGATGAAGAGCTCAGAGTAATAAAAAGAATATTTTCAGAAGGAACTAATGTGCAGGAGTGAAACTGCCCAGACTGGATTCCAAGAGGAGTGAAACTCAGGGGAACAGGGACAGTGGCTGGGACACACTGATGAAGCGCTGGGCGGCTTTACGCAGACACAGGAACTGAGACCCGGATTCTTTAAACACTCGAAGCAGGTGTGACAGTGAGATCTTTGTGGGGGGGTCTGTAAATATTTCACTGGATCAAGTCTCCTTTAGCAGCTCAGTAACATCTTATACAGGGGGAGAATGGCCCTGTCCGGGCTCTGCGATGCACTGGACCTTTAAGGACACGGCCCTGGGAAATGGGAGTTAGATCTGGTAAACGGGGGAGGAAAAGCCCCGCTCCCCCTCCCCCCGCCCTTTTTTTTTTTTGCAACCACTGTAGCTGGCTGAGCCCATCTGGAGGAACTTTTATCCCCTCTGCCCCTCATTATTCCTGGGTTTCCACCTCCGCCCTGCTTGGCAGGGTCTGTGCCCCGGCTCTCACCTCTCCACCTCTGCTCCCCACGTGTCTCTTTCCCGGGCTTAGGGTGACCAGATGTCCCGATTTTATTGGGACAGTCCCGATATTGGGGGCTTTTTCTTATATAGGCTCCTATTACCCCCCAACCCTGTCCCGATTTTTCACACTTGCTGTCTGGTCACCCGGGCTCCCCCCGCCCCGCACACACCGGGAGCTGGCGGCCCCTTTCCCGGGCCCCGGGCGGGAATCGCAGCCAGCTCCGCTGGGAGCAGCCTGGGGCCAAACCTCCCCCTGCAGCCCGGGAGTGACGTGGGGGCGGGTCTCTCTCACCTTCCCTCCGAGCGGGGTCCCCCTGGGGCAGGGGCCGGGCCGGGAAGGGGCCTGGCCGGGCT